ATTTTGTTTTAAAAAATGTTTAACTTTTTTCTATATTATTTTATTTCTTTGAGAGAAATCAATTGAATTTTATTGTAGAAAATTTTATTCAATGTTATGTTAAACGTGAAAGAGAAAGTCTTAGAAAAAAATTTTCAACAATATTTGCTTTATATTTTGGTGGAGAAACTGAAATGATTTAATTATGTTATTTATGATTATTTGAATTGTTCGAATAATGAACAAAATATATATTAGAAATATCTGCAATGATTTATGTAAGTTTTTAATAAATTATTTCGCTTTCTTCAATTTGAAAACTTTCATTGAAAATATTTTTCTAACAATATTCGATTTTTTTAATTTGAAAATTCATGCAAAAAAACTTAACTAAATGAATAGACTTTTTTATACTAATTAGATTAGTATTAATCCATTTTCTCTTTTACACTTCAAATAGAATTGATAATTAATTCATTGTATATAACATATTTTAATCAAAATATTATATTATCGAAGAATTCAAAATAGAAATTTAACAAATTCGAACTGTATATAAAAACACTTTCTTTTGCTTTTTTCTTAGATAGCAGATTACATATAATGTGTCATCTGCTCTGTATTCTGTATTTTTGAGTCTTCTATTCCATAACCTGATGTTTCTTGTTAAAATATTAAAGACGAAAAGATTTATCAAAGTCAGATTAGAAAGTTTTTAGTTTCTTTGCTACGACATGACTCGTTTTTCTTAACTTTTATTTTTTTTCTGTTTCATAGCAACCTGTGCAACGTTTGCGAATTTTGTACGCAGATCCTTCTATTTCTTTGATCTTATGCAGTGATTGGATACTTAGTACAATACTTAAGTATTTTCGTACTTTTTACTTAAAAATCTACAGTACTCAGTACATTTATGTAGTACAAGTACATACACTATGTACTGGACTTGTGTAGTTAGTACTAGGGCTTTATACTTTTTACTGTAGTACAGTCATACGAAGTACCAGTACTTTCGTGGAAACGTACTAGTACCTGTACTAAGTACAAATGTACTAGTACTTGATAAGATCCTCCACAATTTAACAGAATTCTTCTGTGAATGTTTTCATATAAGTTATATGTTATTGATACATTTCATGGGTCTTTTCAAGTTCTAGATATTAATAAATAATTAAATATTGGAGAATGAAATTATTCTATACCATCAAAACACAAATGAGTGAATCGTACGTTGTTTTTATGTAGTCCATTTATTTCTAACGCATGTCTAGAAATTAACCATGCATAATATTATTTTGTTAAAATAGTCATTTATAGATAAAATAGAATGTTCTTCTATAGTAAAACGTTAAATTTTATTAATATCAAAAAGACATAACTGACAGATAATAGCTAGATAGTGAATAGCGAGTCGACCCAGACAGTAACACAACAAAGTAAAAAAATAGTGAAACAACAAGATAAAAAATAGTAAAACAACAGATAAAAGACAAGTAAAATCACAAAGTAAAACGGCAAGTAAATCAAAATATATCTGACATAAATAAGTAATAAAAGCGAGTATGATATAAGAACTTCAAAGCAAACTCTGATTCACACGTAGAAGAACTAAATCACGAAAAAGATTTTCGTTCAAGTTTGTTCTTCTCGATGACAATATAAGTCCTGCATGTGAGAAAACTCTTTCTATAGGAGCAGAACTTGCTTGAACTGAAAATATTCGTTCAATCAAATTTTTAAGAATATTTAGCTGAGAATGAAACCAGTACTCCGAGAATTTTGTACGAACTGGATCATTTAAATACGCATCTAATTGTACAGCAGGATCAAGTGTTGATGAACCACACTATATATGATCTATGTGTATGTGACAACAGAACGAAAGAAGATATACATATATGACGTAAGAAAGAAATGAAAGTAAATGATGATACCACCTAACACGTTGTTATAAGTGCAAATGAATTAAATTTTGAATGTAAGCTATTGATGATACGATTTAATATAATATTCTAGAAATGGATGCACACTGTTGTACCTCACCAATAAGCTTCTTATACAACCTCACTATGATTATTTTTCTTGTTCATGAACACAGATAATTACTCGGCATAATCCGAGTTATTTAACGTAGATCTATACTGTATTATAACTGTATGAATACTACATTGAATTTTTGTTGTTCCTACAATTGTCACTGAAGTGTGAAGTTTTTAAATATTAACACACAGAATCACTATAGAAGCAAAATATAGTATTATTGCAAAATACTAAGTACAAATGTACTGAGTACGGGTACTAGTACGTATCCCCAATAGTACTGGTACTACAGTACAATGTACTGGAGTACAATGTACTTTGTACTCGTACTGAGTACAATATAGTACTGTGGTTATGTCTAAGTGTCAGTACAAAATAAATTCATGAAGTACACAGTATTTGTACTTGTACTTGCTGTACTTGTACTTGTCCAATCACTGATCTTATGATCAGCGAGTTTGTGTTTGTTTGATTTATTAATTGTTGTCTATTGCATAGTCTTCCTTATATATCATATAGTTATTCATGATTGAACTTATCGTTAGTCGCTTTTCTTTGTAGGAACTTGGAGCTTCGAAGTATTCATTTCATTCAATGAGTCAGCGCTGTCTTTTCTGTTGACTTCTAGCGACATATTAACTACTAAAAAATTTTGATTGATTTTACACGAGAGAGCTGAAGAGATACGAATACGAGACAAAAACGTGAATATTTCGTTCTGTTACCTCTCACATACTGTATACTGTACATTAGACGACGAAAAAGAAACTTGAGTCATTATTGAGGTAGACGTGAGATTCGATTCACTACCTTATTCGAAGGTAAAAAGAGAACGGAGAAAAACCAATCGAGCAGAAAAGAAAATCAATAAGTAGATTTTGTTAGAAGTTTGTTGTTTGCGAGAATGAATATTTAGATTAATTCTCGTATGAAAAGTGAACTACCTCGAATGTGCTCATATATCTTCTAGGACGAAGATATATTTTGATTAAATATAGAAAAAAAATATCATTATTGTAGTAAAAATATTGAATAATATGTAGTCGTTCAACTAAACAATTTCCAATAGAATATAAATAAAAATATGATGCTCGGAGTAATAAAGTATCTTGACTTGAATAGTGAGATGACGAAAGAATTTTTTATACAAATAAATATTGAATAAAATTCTATTAAAATATTTTCTATTTATTTTATTCTAATAAGTTTTTATCTGTGGCAACAAAATTAAAGAATCATTTCTATTTTCCGATTGTAGAATATCTATTAGTAGTTACTCTCATTTGTTTCTTATCTAAGATTGTTTCGATTTTATATATTTTTTTATTTAATTATAGTCCAATAAGAGATATTAAACATCAACTTGCATCATTTAATATTGGATTTATCGACAAAAGTTTATCAGGTGCTTGTGGATTCACTAATACATGTACAAAAAAATTGAAAATATTAAATCGAACAAATGGAATGTCTCGTACTTTTACTGAAATGAAAATAATTTTAGAAAGTTTATAAGAATAATTCGGAAATGAATCAAGTCAATATATTTATGTATTTTCATTCTGCAAGAGTGTATGAATTATTTATGACATTTAATTGAACAATGATAATTATTGTTTCATCTATATATTTGTATCATTGTAGTAGCCATTTATTTATTCTATATTTTTAAAGTGAAAATATTTGAAATATAACTGAAAGAATAGTTTTATCTTTATACTTCGATTATATATCTTTAATAAATGTATGAAATATTTACAATTTAATATCAACAAAAAAAATAGATCATGAAAAAAATGATATCACAAATTATTCTATTCAAGTTGAATAAACTACGAAGAACAATTTTAAGTAAAAAAGAAATTCACTTTCATATAAATAAAATAATACAGAAAGTTTGTCTGAGTGTATTAAAATAAAGAAACAAAGTTCATGAAGATGACTATAAAAAAACTAGCATGAATAGAATAGAATTATAAAAAAATGAATAGTAAGTATGAGATTAAACAATGAAAATTAAAAGGTATTTAATAAGATTCAACATACGACATGCATTTTTAATGGGCTGTGATTTATAATTTATAATGTTTTTAAACACATCTAGCTTAGAAACTACGGGTTTCATACAGAAAATAATGACTATGAAGTTGAACATGAATATATAAGCTCTAAAAAAACATGAATCTCTTTTTATTATTGTAAGGATATATTTCAACTGAATTTGTTTTATTTTAGTAGAAATATCATAGATGGAAATAATTTATATTTATATAATGTAGAATATATTCGATATTTTACTAGAGCTAAAGCAATCGTTTTAACATCATCATGTGCTTATATAGATGTGACATATTAGAGAAAAATTTATTTAAGTTAAACCTAACAAATTCACTAGAACGTTTAAAGTATCTATAAATGTAAAACATCTACGAGAGTTATACAAACGTCATTCATTCCGTCACCTTATTCAATATCGTGAGAGTGAAAAAAATTAAATGATTTTTTATTTACATTCTCTTTCTCACCTGTCACATCAAATGATTATATTTTAGAGTTATCAATTATTATTTTTAATGTGTATATAGGTAAGCATGTTTTTCCTTGATAACTAGCATAACAACATTTTGTATTTCACAGTGATTGATAATTATTTTTAATGAGCATATACGTAAACATGTATGTCCTTCATATATATGTCTTAATAATATTTTCTATTTTCCAGTTATTGAATATTATTTTTAATGAGCATACACATAAAAATATATGTCCTTAACATCGACTATCACAAAATTTCGTATTTTAAAGTGATTAGCAACTATTTTGAATCCGCATAGGGGTGAGTATCTATCTCCTTTATATATACCAAAGCACATAATTCACCAATTTTTAGCAATACACGATCAACTTACGGCACGTAAACACTACTGAAAGCAGACGAAACATCGAAACTATATTGATTTTGATGGAAGCCAATACTTTGCATGCTAAAAGTAAATTCTTCTTTGTTAATATTTTCGTACATTAAGAGTGTGAGTGAAGGTGTAGTGTCTTATTGAATATAATAAAGAAAAACCTAAAATATCGTTTCCATTTTATTCAGTTAGTTCAATATATATATATATATATTTATTAGTTTATTGTAATTCAATTAATAAATATTTTATTTAGTGTTATATTGATTTATTATGTCGTTTATGCTATACAGTTCAAACAATTGATGGACATTGTTGTACAGTGGCTGAAGGTGTACTTGATCCATCATTAGTTGAATTATTTTCATCAATTATTGGTTATTAATTAGTTTTACTTAAAAAAAGCCATTTAATATTATCTGATTATGAAATTAAATCATTGATTAAACAAAAACTAACCCAAACATATATGGATGCAGATATTCGCGTTAGTTTTATAAAATCTTCTTGAATAAAACTGAAAATATTCTTATTTTTTGTTAGAATGAAAAAATTGTTTTATTAATAATCGAAGAAGAAGAGTTTCAATATCTTGAATTAATAATTAATATAACAAATTAAATTAATACAGAAATATATCAAGTTTATTTTCCTTACAAGAAGAAACAACAGTTATGAATTCTGTTCGTACACAAGCACAACAAGCAAGCTTAACAGATACAAAAGCTGTTGCTTGGGAATTTTTTCTTCTCATTATTATTTTAATTGTTTATCCAATCGGTAAACAACCATTTCAGGATTGTAAGGTATGTTTCATCTGCTTGAATTTAATATTGTAGTTTTTTTTATTGCACTTCTTATAGCTTTATAATTAATTAAAATTTAACAAAATAATTCTTATATTTATAGAAATGTTAAAGAAAATATTCGTGTTATTATTTTAATAAATAAAATAAATAATAAATTATCTTGATTATCCATCAGTATCTAATAATATAACATTAATTTATTGGTAACATTGGAATATTGGAACACTTGTACAAAATAGTCTTTATTAGTTAAAAGGTTTAATAATGATTTTTGTTATAATTATATAAGAAAAACGTTTTTTTCTTTTAATTTAAAAAAAGAATATGTTCAATAGTTGGATAAAAATACAAGTGAAAATGCAGCTCATCTTCTTGCTTCAATGCATCCTTTAATTTAACGAGCAAATCAAAATCATACACAGAAATTACCACATATTAATAATCATATATTTACGAAATTTGTTGAAAGGTAATTGAAAATGAAGTACATTTATTCGAATTCGAAAAAAGAAATTTTTTTTATTTAGATTTGTAAAACAAATCAATGAAAAATCATCAAATGTTCATGAAAATCATTGTGATGTTCAACGTCTTCTCGAACAAATTCAATATCAACATAAAACATCAATTAAATTAGAAAAAGAATGACAACAAAAAAAACTATACTTGCAGCACGAGTTAAAGTATAAACTTTTCTTATTAAAATTTCGATATAAAATCTAAAATCTTCTTTTTTAAAGTATTGCACGTATGTTGTTAGTTGGAATAGGTCAAGATATGGTTACAGCTGAACAAGAAATTTGTGCTCATAAATCTCAAACACGACGAACAGTTCAATTAAAAAGATTATTACTTGAATATGAATTAACGCAACAAGAAAATCTTTATAAATGTTTAGCTATTGCAACCGATGCACGAAAATTAATTTGAAACACTTGATATGAAATCATTCAAAGAACCAAGATTAGTTACTGAAGTCGAAAAATCAGTTGAAGATACATTAGCTGCTATTATTATGATTTGTAAGTTTAGAATATCTTTTATTTTTCTATTTTTCTAAAATTTTATATTAAAATAGTAAAATCTCCAACAGCTGATATAACATGGCAAAAAGGTGCGAAAAGACAATTACCAAATCTTGATAGATTTATCGAAGAAACTCAATTATTTGATAAAATTAATTTGACAGAAGAACATAATAATTTAATTAGTGCCATTATTAATAATTTTCAACATAAAAATACATCACTTTATAAATGGGTTAAACGAATTTTATAGTTAGTTATTTGAAAAAAATTATTATTTTATTATTTTACATAGATCTGATACAGTTTTACTTAAAAAAGTCAGTTTAATCTTCAATCGTTTTTAGTAGATTAACATTCAAAAATAAATTGTCAGTTTAGTGATTATACAATTTTATTAATAAGTAACTATTTTGCTACAGATAAATTCTATTCTTTTGTATTTAGATCGACGAGAATGAAACATTCGCCGGTTGTTACAGCTATAGATTAGTAAAGTATATTTTTCGATATACGTAGAAACCACTCGAAAAATCTTGCCTTTGCCTGTTTGTGGAGAGTTCTCGCGACTTCTCTTTAATATTATGTGTTCTTGACACACAATACTTTTCAATACTTCCTTTTTTTCAGATCAAAACTTCATCAGTTTTTGTTTCATTTCTTCCGATAATCAACTAGTTTTTTATCCAACATATCTCAAATGACATCCTCCAGCACCTTCTTGGAACCAGTGGCTATTGTTGGCATAGCCTGCGAATTTGCTGGTGATATTCATTCACCAAATGATCTATGGCATGCATTGGAAGAAAGTCGCGATGTCGGTAGCGAAATATCTCATGATCGACTTGATATTGACTCATATTGTGCTCATATGTTCAATATGGACAATAATCAAACACTCCAGAAAAAACTTATTCGTAGAGGATATTTTCTCTCGAATAACCAATGGGATACATTCGAAGCAGGTTTCTTTGGATTGTCCGATGCAGAAGCAGGCAGCATAGATCCATGTCATCGATTATTGATGCTTAAATTTGTTCATTTACTTGACGATGCTGGTTATAATATTGAGAAAATGAATGGTACACGAACATCTGTACACATAGGGCAATTCTCTACAGATCATGCGCACGCATCAATTCGAATGGAACCCGAATTTCGATCAAGATTTCATGGACCCAATAGTTTATTGTACAATGCTGCAGCTCGATTATCATACCATTTTAATCTACAAGGTCCTAACGTCTCATTAGACGTTGCTTGTTCGTCATCATTAGAAGCTGTACATATGGCTGTAGAAACTCTTCGTAGATACGAAGCAGATATCGCCGTATGTGGCGGTGTTAATGGTATTTTTGCACCAGAAAGTGTTTTTCATGCCTCGAATATTGGTGCTTTATCACCTGATGGACGAAGTCGATCATTTAGTGCTGATGCTAATGGTTACGCTAAAGGTAAGAAGTATATTTGCATACATCTAATATAATACATTTTTTAGGTGATGGTCTTGGTCTTATTATGTTGAAACGATTGAGTGATGCTGAACGTGATGGTGATCGTATATATTGTGTTATTCGCGATGTACTCAGTAATCATGATGGAAATGAAGATAAAAGCAATTATGTTGTTCCATCAGCTGCTGGACAAACACGTCTGCTCACTAGTATTTACAAGCGAACAAACTTTGATCCTCAACGTATTTTCTATATGGAAGCACATGGTACTGGTACACCAGTAGGTGATCCTATTGAAGCAAATTGTCTAGGTCGATTTTTCAATCGATCATCGCTTGAACCTCCACTATTAATTGGTTCTGTTAAGAGTAATTTGGGACACACAGAAGGTGCAGCTGGTATTGCTGGATTAATCAAAGTTGCTATGTGTATGCACCATCGAGCTATTCCACCAAATATGCAGTTCACATCACTTAATCCCCGGATCGAAGCACAACGTTATAATCTTCATGTTGTTCTACATTCTGTACCTTTTCCACCTTCCACTGACACTGATCCGATAGCTATAGGTATCAATTCATTTGGCATGGGTGGTAACAATGTACATGCCATTGTCGAAGAATATCGACCCAGTGCAAAAAAGTCCATTACTAATGGATATACAAATGATCGTGCTAATGGACACCATCAGATAGAAAACAAACAATATTTCATCTTTCTGTTTTCAAGTAAGTAGACGATTATCAAATATTGTCATTCTTATTATTTTCCTATTTTAGCAAAAACTCGCAAATCTCTTAAAGATCAAGTAGCACAATTCAATCAATGGTTACAAAAAAGATCAACTTCTAATGTAGATAATGATCATGCTTTCTTTCAACGTATTTCTCAACAACTTCTTCTTCGACGAACAATTAGCTATATACATTTAGCCATCTTTGTATTTGCAAATCGTCAACAATTACAACAACAACTTGATGCTTTTCTTGCCGAACAAACAATCTCGGGGCTTGCTATTGAATTACGTCCAACGGTAGCATTATCACAAAATATATGTTTTGTTTTTAGTGGACAAGGTCCTCAATGGTGGGCTATGGGTAGACAATTATATGAAAGTGAACCTGTTTTTACTCAATGGATACAATTGATTGATAATGAAATGACAAAGATCAACAATGGTCAATGGCGATTATTAGAAGAGTTAATTGAAAAAAAGAATGAACAAGAATCTCGTATTAATGATACAAATATTGCTCAACCAACATTATTTGCTATACAAGTTGCATTAGCAGCTTTACTTGTTTCATGGAATATATATCCATCATCTATTGTGTCACATAGTGCGGGAGATCAAGCAGCTGCTTTTGTTGCCGGTCGACTTACCTTACAAGAAGCCGTTCGTATTGTCTACCATCGATCACGTTTACAAAATCGTAATACACGACAAGGTGGTCGTATGTTAGCTGTTTCCATGAGTGAAGAAGAAGTAAAAGAAAGACTTCTTAAAGATATTGAACATCTTGTTTCTGTTGCTGTTGTTAATAGTCCTCGTTCGGTTACACTAAGTGGAGATGAGAAAACTATTGATGAATTACAACAAATACTTTCAAAATTTCATCCTAATGTTTTTAAAGCTCGTCTTCGCATAGAAAATGCATTTCATTCTTATCAAATGGATCGTTTTGATATTGAAAAGGAACTATTATCATCACTTAGTGATATTCAAGGACTTCCTCTTAAAGATCCACAACAAATGTTCAATCCAAAATGTGCTGATGCTCGTCTCTATTCAAGTGTCGTTGGAGGTGAATTAAATAATGAAATGCCAGTTAATGCACATTATTGGTGGACAAATGTAAGACAAGTTGTTCGATTTCGTGATGCTATAGTGTCTATTACACAAAATGATGATGCAACTATTTTTCTCGAACTCTCACCACATCCGGTCTTGGCTACATCTATTCAAGAATGTTATCAATCAATAAATCAAAAACCACTTATTCTTCCAACATTAAAACGAAAAGAAAATGAACAAATCACAATATTGACAAGCCTAGCACAATTAACAATTTCACCTGATATTTGGCAACAATATTTTCATACTCGAAATATTTTATCTTCAAACAAAGATGAAGCATTCTTTGATGATTTTCCATTGTATGCATTTGATCTTAGTTCATGTTGGTATGAATCAAAAGAATCAGTTATGAAACGTTTAGCTAATCGTATTCAAACTCATCCTTTACTTGGTGTTCGTCAATTAACTGGACAAACAACTGCTACATGGAGAAGTCTTATCAATATTAATCTACCACAATATGCTTATTTGAAAGATCACAAAATTCAAGATGCTATTCTTTTTCCTGCTGCAGCTCAACTGGAAATAGTCACAGCAGGCTATCGACAGTTATGTCTACCATTTGATAACAAAGAACAACCTTTGATTATTTTAGAAGAAATCAAATTTGTCAAAGCACTCGTTCTTACTCAGCATGAATTGACAGAAGTATTTACACAACTTGATGTGTCAAAACGTGAATGGTCCATCTATAGTCGACCATGGACATCAGCTGGTTCAGATTGTATGCATTCATCAGGCATGGCTAGTAATGATTTCATTGATTCTTTTCTCGATCAACAAGCCCTCAGTCAATATTCTTTGAATGAATTCACATTACATGCTCATGGTCGAATTAATATGGATAATACTCAACAAAAACCAAACACAATACTTACTACTGATATGATAATTGATACAACATGGTCAACACATGATACATCAAATTTTTATAGATATGCGTCAATAAGAGGTTATCAATTTGGATCTTTATTTCAAAATATGAACTTCTTACAAGGTACAACATCTACAGTTATAGGTCAAGTTTCAAATGATCTTACTAAAATCAATGATCTTTCTTCTTATTATCTACTTCATCCATCAGTACTTGATGCTTGTTTTCATCCGCTTATAGCTTTATTACCTAGTAATGATACAACATTTCTTCCAATTAGTATTCAAAAATTTGTTAGTAGTACAAACAAAACCTTATCTTATTCCAATATTGAGATGCGTGGTAATTATCATGATAATGTTTGTGGACTGAGTCAAGAACAAGCACATACTTGTGATATAATAATTCTTTCAAGCGGTGACAAAAACTCTTCCTCAAAAGAAATCATCTGTACAGTTGAAGGTTTTGCTACTCAACAAATTCAAGGTACACGATCCGGTCGATGGACATTAGAAAGATCTATTTTTGATAAATTAAATATCACAGTTGATTTGCCTAATGTCGATCATAAAGAGCATGTAGATAGTCTTGTGAAGGACTATTGTATGAAACAAGTATGGAATGATTCACCAATAATAACAAGTGTAGCTGATTTATTTCCATCATCCGAGAAGATTCTCAACAGTAAAATCGATACTGTTAGCAATCAAGATTTAGTTGAATCAATTGAACCATTCAATAAACTAGCTGCATATTATGCTCAATTATCACTAAAAGAGCTCGATTTGAGTCTTGTTGATGATCAATATCGTCCTTTGTTCAATGCTTGTCACTTTTTAACCTCACTTTTGTGTGAACAAGTGACATTACACTCTACACAACTTTGTCTTATGCAACTGCTCGATCGTTTTCCACGTCTCGAACCAATTTTGACCTTATTAAACGCGTATGGATCGCAATTAAAAGCCATTTTTACAGGACAACACAGTGCAGTCGATGTATTCTTAGGAAACGATGATACTGGAGGTATTTTACAACAAGTAAAAAACATTATGAGTGCAAATAAA